AGGGGGCTCGGGGACAGCGAGCTAGGCGCGACGAGGCGGGACATGGCGCGCGGCGGGGTGGGGCGGGCGCATGAATTTTGATGGCGTGCATCGAGATGATGTGTTGTTTGGGCAGCGAGCTGCGCGGTGGTCAGCCACGCCACACAGTGCGCGCTGCTGCTGCTGCTGCTATCGCTCGCCGCATCAACCCCCACGGGTCGGACTGCGCGACGGGCTGTCTGTTCTGTCTGACCGTGGGCCGCGTGGCACTGTGGTGGGCAGAGTGGCTTTGTAACTGAACCGAATGCAGCGCGGCCGGCGCGGCTGCACAGCGCACAGCACACAGCACACACATGTCGCACGCTGCCGCCGAATCAATCCGTCACCGAAGCCTTTACTTGGCAAAGCGTCAGGCGCCCGAGCCAGCCCAGCCCAGCCCGACACACAGGCACACACCACTATCCCCCTCCCGGGCTGACGTGGCTAAGACTGTAGTGGAGTGGAAGCGGTAGTGGTGGCGTTGTGGGGCTTCTCAGAGGAAGTCCCGAGTGACATGAGCATACTGCAGGGGGGGCACTGAGTCACTGAACGCCGCGGGCGCGCGCGGGGCGGGGCCGGGGCGGGGTAGTTGGGCGCGCTGAGTCGCCCGTCACGCACCGTCGACCTTTGACTAATCCTTTTGGCTTGGCCAGGACTGGGACTGGATGTCTTACGACCTCAGATCACGAATAACTTGGGCCCCCTGACGTGTTGCTTATTGATTAGGGTGGAGGGGGCAGGATGAAGCACTGCTGGGGGGACTGACTCGTCGGGCCCCGCGTGACATGTCGCATCGCGTCTGTGTATCAGTTTGTTTTATTCATTACCACATTCCTCCACGCGCCCTCCTCCTCCGTGATGGAGGAGGGAAGTCCGTTAGTGTTTTGCGTGTCGCAGGCGAAGCAGCGGCGGCGGGAGGTGCAAGTGTATTATAGGGTTGTTGTGTGGGAACGCCTGGGAAATGAGCCCGACACACTTGTTACTGGAAACTTGGTGGTAGTGGTTGTACTAGTATGTACTCGCGCGGCTTGCATTTAGCGCTCGCGTGTTGACCCCCCC